TTTTTTTGTAAAAGATTTTATTCAATATCATTTCCACCTTTCCAATTACAGTAACACTATAAGAGAGCACATATAGGAGTATAAATACTTAAAATAATAATCTAATAATCACAAAAAATAGAAACGATAAGGAGATATATATTAACTTCCCTAAATTTCAATTATCTAAAATGTCACAAATGAAGTGTCAGCGCTTAGTGCATAAGCCCTTAATTTTAAATTAACTAGAGCTGCCACAAAATCGAATATTATTAATTTACAATATATACTGAGTTCTTTTGAGAGTTGATCAATGCTGATAAACCAGTCTAGAAGACCAGAATTTCAACCGGACGGGTTCTATCATCCAAATCCCATGTAACAACAGTATCCGCTATTCAGATAAACACTTTATGATACTGTTAAAGAAGATGATACAAAGTGTAATTCCGATAATTCATTTATTTAAACCCCCCTCTTTCCTATCTAGGAACTCTTACACTGTTCAAATGTGACATTTGGTTGTAGGAACCACAAAATCAGACAAAATACAATAATGTCTTGGTGTTACCGCTCCGCGCAAAAGTTGCAAATTATTATCTGATTTTCTGCTTAACCCAATGCCGCTGGAGTTGTTGTAGTGCATTGCACACAGATGGAGCGGTAACACCAAGCTACTGCTACATTTTGTCAAGCTTGTCAGGCGTAGTAAAAATACTGAGACAAAGTAGTCCCGCATTGTCTTAGTATATCATTTTACTGTGTTTGAATTTCAGTGAAATTCCACCACAGTCCACCAATGTAAGTATTTGGTAAATATTTTATCTCAATGGAATACTCATTTTGGAAGGGAAGAGGTCAATCACAATCCCACTCTAAAAGTCACAAAGGTGGACAGCAATCAAAAAGCACCACTTCTACTGCTTCTTCAGTATGTAGCTAAAAATATAATAAAAACCTAAATCCATCTGGTGAAACTGATAGTCACAATAAACAGTCTGTACAGCTGTCTGTACAACTGAGTAGGACAGTGCACAAACGTAAAAAGTTCTGTAAGCAAACATTTTCAAGACAAAGCATAGACAATGACTTCCAAAAGGATGAATGGCACAAATTCTCTGTGAAGTGCTTTAAGCTAAGAGTAAGTTAAAGGGACACTGTAGGCACCCAGACCACTTTAACTCATTGAAGTGGTCTGGGTGCAAACTCCCATCACCCTTAACCCTGCAGTGCTAATTATTGCAATTTTTATAAACTGCAATAATTACCTCTAAAGGTTAACTCCTCCTCTAGTGGCTCCCTACCAGACAGACTTCCTGAATCCAAACAGACTTTTGGTCCGTTATCTGACGCTGGACGTCCTCACGCTCTGCATTGAAACATTGAATAATGCTTTCCTCTGGGGAGATCCAAATGCGAGCATGGCCATTGCCACACATGCGCATTAGGTCTCCCCAGCCGGTGGATGTTGGCGGGAGAAGAGCGTGGGCGGAACTGAGCCATCGCCGAGGGACAAGTATGTGACTGAAAGGATTATTAACCCCTTCTGCACCATGGGAGGGGAGGCAAGGGAGGGAGCCTTGACAAAGGGGAAACCTATAGTGCGAGAAAAGAGTTTGTTTTTCTGGCACTATAGAATCCTTTTAGTACTGCTATCAGGTGACAAATTACGAAAGACCAAAATCACTAACGATATAGACTGCCCGAAATCAATGTATGGCAATATGTTCGAGAGAACACTGTACACTTAAATTTGCTGTAAGTCTGCATCCATCATTCGCAGCCAACGGCATGAATGGAGAACATGATCCAATGTATTTTCTATAAAACTGGTTTATATCCTGAATGACAATCTGAAGGTTCACAGTTGCTTTGAACATCAATCACTATGCACACCCAGCTACGGTCTGTTCACGAGCTAGCTATGAACGGATAAAGTCGTTTTTGGGGTTAATTAATTGAAATTGTGTAGCAGTCACTATGGAAGCCAAGTGAGGTTTTTAATGACTGCTACACTTGTAGAACTTTGGGTAAAGATAACTATTTATATAATTTACCATCATTGTGTACTGAGATCTAAGACATACACATACAGTTCCACAATAACCACAAGACCCTTTCTTTGCAATAATGGTTGTTTTTTTTGGAATTTCAACATCTCTGCTTTGATCATTTACAGACAGGATAAAAATTACACAGACATCATACTAAGTAAACAGTAGGTGGATCGAGGTAGCAGCTGTATGAGAAAGATCTATCTGATTAAAAAAGTCACCACTGCACACACCATTCACATGACAATGAATCACTGGATTAAAATAAATACATTGGAGTTTTTCCAGAAACTAAGAGCAGAGCAATGTTTATGCTGAAATGCAGATGAATCATATATTAAATTATTTTATTTAGTTCGATTAAACATCCCCAAACAGTGTGACATCCTGTTTATGGTACACGTTAGATGGAATTTATTATGATTTATAGGTAATAGGAGTAGGTGATGTGTAGAGTCCCACAAGGGGAAACCAACATCAGGAGAGCTCCAGTGTATAAGAAATGAGGAAGGGAGGCCCTACCTTTAATCAATCTAAGGATAAAAAGGGATATGCAAACAAAAAGTATAACTTGAAAAAAAGGGAGATCTACTAAACGGTGCCCAGGGGATCAATTGGCTGGAGTACTAGCTAGCATCCAAGTTCCAGTGCCCCTAGTGTCCGACTGACAGGAAGGTAGTGTAAACGAGGTTAGGGAGAGAGAAGAGGCACAGGGTCCCCAGAGAACAAGGGACCAGGTAATCAGGTCTAAACGCAGATGAAAAGCCTCACACAAAAAATAAATAATTAAATCTTTCAATTCACCATAAAAGTTACCTCGACACCGTGGTCTAAGCACTAGTGTCTACCTGAACCAACTCTCCCTACTACAGTTATAAATAAACACCTAAAAATCAATAACCATAGTGGTAACAAAAATAAAAAAGTGCTACCATGTGCAGAGATTAAAGAAAAAGAAAACGCTCGACGTGCGTTTCAGCATGTTCAAAACGCCGTCGTCAGGAACCTCGTTTACACTACCTTCCTGTCAGTCGGACATTAGGGGAACTAGAACTTAGATGCTAGCTACCACTCCAGACAATTGATCCCCTGGGCACTGTTTAGTATCATGCAAGCGCCTCTAGCGGCTGTCAATGAGACAGCCGCTAGATGAATTGGAGGAAGGATTAACCCATTTATAAACATAGCAGTTTCTCTGAAACTGCTATGTTTATAAAAAATGGGTTAACCCTACCTGGACCTGGCACCCAGACCACTTCATTAAGCTGAAGTGGTCTGGGTGCCTAGAGTGGTCCTTTAAGGGGTTAAAGGTAGGGCCTCCCTTCCTCATTTCTTATATAGTGGAGCTCTCCTGATGTTGGTTTCCCCTTGTGGGACTCTACACATCACCTACTCCTATTACCTACATATTTTGGAGGGTTACCCCCTAATTGGAGCTCCCTATTAGGTTGTTACAGTGGTGCAGCTCATGAGCCCTTGACTTGTATCCGGACTCCTGACCTGCACTCTGTTTACTTTATTTCTCCATTTTGCATTATGATATATATATCGTGGGTTTATTTAAATGTACAACCCAGCCATGTAATTCAGTTTTACAGTAAATAGAAGTGTCACATTTATTGACCCATTTTCTCGCTAGAAGAATCGTCCATCACGGCTGTGTTACGCAGGTATTGAATTTATAGGTTTGGAACTTGTTTATTGAACATTCTAGCCAGGTTCTATTCCTCGCCTTTGAAAGATGACTTTCTCTGAGTGAAGTGCTTAGTCACACTATAACTCAGACTAAAGGGTCTGTTTATTGCCAAAAACATGTCTGTTCCCTTCAAAACATGTCATACGATCTATGTCCCAACATGTCCATGAATCATCTGGTGACAAGGCCACACCTAGACCTTCCATCAAGATGTCAACATCTTCATTCCATGCTGAAGTCATCAAAAATTATTATTTATAATTATAGTTTCTCATTATCTCCAAAATGCATATCGCTTGAAAATAAATACACAAATCAAAAAAAGTGGCAAAGATATAATCACAAATAAATTAAGAAAAAACTAAGGTATATTGCAAACAAACTTTGTGTGTAATATACTTTTATATAACACAGCAATAAATTATCTAAACAGAAAACCGATGTGTGCACCTTCACACAACATTAAATATAAATGTCAATACCTATATATTGTATTTATTTGTAATATTGTGTGAAAGGGCACACTTTTTTTGTTTTTGTTTATATGCTTGAAAACCTATTGTTAAAAAAAAAAAGAGTACAAAGTTGATTGTGGAAACTGTGTGGATAAAATGAAAAACCAAAACTAGGTATTTCTAACTCCAGGCTGTCTTTGATAAACAGACGAGTCAAGATGATTTGTCGAGCAGTGACAGGCTCACTAAGCTGTTTGCGGATACTATAAATGTATACATCACTGCTATAGACACATAATGTAAAACGAAAGCTTTCCTCGGAGAGAGGGTTTCCATAATAATGCAATTACCAGCGTGATAATGTCAAGCCGTACATATCACTTCAATCAAGTCAAGAATCAAACATGACTTTTAAATTATTTGTGCCACAGGGAATGCATGCTATACAGAAAGAGCATACTGACATATCAGCTAGTGACTTTTGTTATCATCCTGGATATTCAATGAACCTTTAAGCGTGAGCTGGACCTTACATTTATGTAGTTTTAACATTGTATCAGTAGGCAGATTTGTAATAATGTTTATATAATCCATGCTGACAGAAAGCCACATTTATTGAGAAACAGATTGTAGAAAGACATTTTATAAGGTTATATCATTATTTTAGAGCTTAATATGTTTGGTTAAGTTTAATATTGGTATTAGTTATAGATAGTGATGTCCCGAACGGTTCGCTGAACGGTTCGCTGAACGGTTCGCGAACGGTTCGCCACGGACTCATCATTGAGTAAACTTTGACCCTGTACCTCACAGTCAGCAGACACATTCCAGCCAATCAGCAGCAGACCCTCCCTCCCAGACCCTTCCACCTCCTGGGCCGTTCACTAAGAATGCAGCTTCACAATGAATGTAAAATGGATGCTGTCCAGGAGGTGGGAGGGTCTGGGAGGGAGGGTTTGCTGCTGATTGGCTGGAATGTGTCTGCTGATTGTGAGGTACAGGGTCAAAGTTTACTCAATGATATAGTGTTATAGTGTTCGGCGAACCGTTCGGGACATCACTAGTTATAGATTTTAAGGCTCGAGTTTTGCACTCAGTGCTTGATTGGCAAACAAGGGAAAGGTAACTCTTTATTACAATATAAACGATAATGCATTAAAATAAGATGCAAATACAATACATTACAAATAAAAATGCATACATTTGCTGCAAGTCATCAGGGTTTGCAGCGTCTGCGGTGCACTCTCCTTTAAATTTCTGAACAGCAATGCCTTTTGGACTCATCATTGGGTCTTCTGAATGTTGAAGTCCAGTTAATAACTTTCTACAGTAGAAAGCTAACAGCAACTCCCAGAATCCCTTGTTGTTTATCAAGTACAAATGGGTTATTGCTGAATAACGAGAAACACTGCAGATTAGACTGTAGATTGTTCTGAACAACATAAGGCCTTTACCATCTGAGTTTGGGCCTTAAAAGTACATCATTAAGGTTAGTGCAAAGTTTGGAATTTGGGTAACTGACATTTTACATTACATTTCATTGAGACAATATTTTACATTTTGAACCGAAAATAATATGAAAGGGCCACATTATTCAAAAAGCACAAGTTATTCAGAGTTATGTATGTATATAATATATATATATATATACATATATATATATATATATATATATATATATATTGTGCTGGTAAATGTAAATATATATTGAATACCTTGATGTTCCCAGGTGCAAAAGAATGAACTTGCATCATACTGCTTCCAAATAAACAAGTATGGCAGCCTACCCATAGAATGTACTAATCCATTTGGAATCTATTTTTGTAGGCAATTATTGTTTACTTGCTGAGAGACTGTATTAAAGGCATTCTAGGCAAGTTTACTGATAGAAAGATTCCAAGTAAAATAACGGTGTGCATCTTCAAAAATGCACTTTCTAATAGTGTACTCACTCTGATGTTCAGCTTGGAATCGAAGTCTTACAAAGTAGCTCTGTATTTATACCTGAATTGTTTGAATTCCTTATACTTTATCTGGTAAAGTAAGAGTTGTGAAAGGAGAAAAATGCACTAAACCATTTACCTCCGCTGTGCCAACAGTAAGCAGGATATCTTACCTGGAATTTCACAAGTTTAGAAAAAACAAAAAAGTTTTAAAATATATTTGCTTGCTATTGCGTCCTTTATTTGACTTGTTTACTCATCCTTTATATGATCCATGAATTTGTTTGGAAAATAATACATTGAAATTCCTAGATTTTACTATTAACATGACGTAAAGTCATGATTTTATTAATGACACGGAGGCGAGTATTATGCTTCTCTTTCTTTAATTTTCCCTCAGAGGAATGAGTGTAATTTTCCCTCAGAGGAATGAGTGTAAAAGATAAAAAATAGCATATAATTAACATATATACATATTCAACAGTGCTACATAATGGAAACCACCCCCTTTCAGTATATAAGGTATAGCACTCTCTTCCTCTTCCTCTTTCTGTAGCGATCCGAAGACCAGTCAAAATCGAACAAGAACTCTGAACCGGAACTGTAACATCGGAAAGTCGTACATCCCTTCCTAGGGTAAACGGTGGAGCTGACCTTTAAGCCCCCTTCGATCACTCTGACGTGGGGAATCAGGCTAAAAAGAGAGGAGAAATATGGTAAAATCTTGATTGATAACTGGTTGTAACATATCCCAGCATATCTATTGTCCTCTACGTCTGAGAGAAATTCAACGTCATAACATCCTGACATAAAATCTCGACTGATAACTGTTAGTAACATATCCCAGTAAACTATAGTCGTCTACATCTGAAAAGAAATACAATGTCATAATGACCTACCAATTAGCGTATAACCTAGACTAGGCATACAGTTTGGAAAAAGTGTGGCAGGGGAGACCCGCCCTGATAGTATGAGGATAGGTGTCGACTCGATCTAATCCTGTATGGCTGAGAAAAATCCCACCAATTCCAACCCAGGGAGGGAGGGAGGGAATAATACTCGCCTCCGTGTCATTAATAAAATCATGATTTTACGTCATGTTAATAGTAAAATCTAGAAATTTTATTAAAGACACGGAGGCGCCTATTATGCTATTTTAAAGCTGAGCTATAATCTTATCAGAAAAATGTTGTATAGGTCTAAAGTAAAAGTTCCGGAATGTGGATTCCGTAGACCAATCTGCAGCCTTCAAAATGTCTTCCAAGCGACATCCAGCCGCCGATGCTTTTGAGGCCATGGCACCCCTGACGGAGTGGGATGAGAATACTGAGACATCGATCCCGGCCGTAGCTAGTAGCCATTTGATCCAACGTGCGAGTGTTGGGGTAGATACAGGCAGATGAGGTTTCTTCAGGGAGATGAACAGGGATCCGTCATTAGACGGCCGTAGAGTAGAGGTGCGAGACTCTTTCAGGCATGATATTGGGCATAGGTTGGGTAAACTTGTGATTCTCGGATAGAAAACATGTTTAGTTGCTGATTTTGTTCTCCGTGAGATATCGAATGACACTCCCTCTGGAGTGAACGTGCGAGCCCGCCAGTCCAAGGCTCTTACGTCTGACACCCGTTTACAGGATAATAGGCAGAACAGCATAAATAGTTTTGCCGATAAATGTTTAAAGGACAACTCTATGTTAGAGGGCCAGCCATCTAGGAGTCTGAACACGCAGTTGACGTCCCAGAAGGATCCGTATCTGGATGTAGGGGGACGTGAGAAGCAGACGCCCTTAAGCAAGGGACAGACTAGGGGGTTCTGTCCGAATGGGAGCCCATCCACCTGGTCATGTCCAGCTGAGATAGCGGAATGGAATATGTTGACCGTGTGGAAGGCCTTGCCTGATTCGAACAGATGCATCAGGAAGTCCAACACCGATCTCACAGGGGCTGATAAAGGATCCAACGATCATTCCAAGCACCATTTGGACCACTGTCTCCAGGCCGCAGCATATGCGTGTCATGTTCCAGGTGCCCATGCGTTTGCCAGGAGTTGCATAGTTGTGCTCGAAACCTCTGTGATTTCCCAGGGTCCCCAGAAAGGAGCCATGCCATGAGGCGGAGAAGGCCCTGTTCTACTAGGGTGCAGGGCCGGCGCTACCTGTAAGGCGGACTAGGCAGCCGCCTAGGGCGCCCCTTGGGAGGGGGCGCCGCCAGGAGCGCCGGCCCCCCTAATGCTGCAGCCGCCCGAGCGCTCTGTAAAGAGCCTCAGGCGGCTGCAG